TCTAGATAGGGTTTCTCTATGTAGCCCAGGTTGTCTTGGACTCACTTTGTGAACTAGGCTGGCCTGGAACTGACAGATCTGCCTGCCTCTGCTTCTGGGGTGCTGGGGATTAAAGACGGGTGACACCACAGCCCAACAAGTTAGTAACTTTTGATGAGAAAAGGCTAAGGAGTTGCCTTCTACCCTAAACTGCAACACTTGTGCAGTGGGCCCAGGAACTGGGAGGAGCAGGAGTGGGACTGAGTCATATCTAACCTCAGAAATCTGTCAAGAGCAAGAGTGGTAGGAGTGAGACCACTCCCTCCCTTGCCCTAGGCCTGCACTCCTGTGACACCCCACTGCCCCCGCATCTTTGCCCACACCAGAGGAGGTACATAGTTGAGCCAGGTTAAACTTCCCCTCTCCTTAAGGTCGTGTCCAGCCAGCACCTGGAATTTCTCCTCATGCAAATGAGGCATCCTCAGCAGCCTGCCCCCTGGCCAATGGTATACACCCACCCTATCTCCCCTACTCACCCACCAAAGGTTTGTGTAGCCTTTGCTACCCAACAATTAAATGTGCTGGCTCATTGAAGCCTGTCTCCAGAGTCTGTTCTCACCATGCTCATCACCACCTGTTTGCTCATCACCTTCAGCTGTTCCTGCCTCTCCCAGGCCACGGGTCATGGGTCATGATCGCTGCAGTCACACTGACAGGTGGGAGAGTGGAGTGGGAGTGGCATTGCCCTTGGAGTTTTTGAAATAATGTCATTATGTAGCCCAGGATGGCCTCAAATTTGCCTCAGTACTCCTGCCTCCATCTTCCAAGTGCTGACATTACAGGCACTGTCACCACAAGCTCTAAAAGAGACTAGTAGACAAACTAGAATGGTAGCATTAGAAAAGGAGAAGAAAAAGCAAAGTTCAGAAATTGTGAAGATGAATTGTAAGGAGTTTGTTACCCTTAGGAAGCACACATGCTGACAGTATGAGCATGGCTAGGGTCTTGTTCCTAAACAGATGTTTTTCTAAGCAGTTGAAACTGCACGTTGCCTTAATGTCAGGGAACTAAAGGCACAGGGCATACAGGAGGAAGGGAGCAGTTTGTAGGGTAAATTCTAGAGACAGAAGAATAAAGAATGTAATATATATATTTAATATTTTTATTCTTAAGGTTATTGTTTTATGTGTATAAATGTTTTGCCTCCATGTATGTATATATGTATGTCACTCTGTCCATAGCTAGTATCCAGGAGGCTAACGGAGGTTATTGGCTCACCTTGGACTGGAGTTACAGAGAAGTGTGAGCTGCCCTGTTGATTCTGGGAACTGAACCCAGGTCCTCTGTAAGAGCGGCAAGTGCTCTTAGCCGTTGAGCCAAATCTTTAGCCCCAAGAAGATAGTATATTTCAATATTTTATTATTATAAAGATTGATCTGCTTCACTACTTTGTCTTCTATGAAGAAAAATAATTAAAAGTTGTTAGTTCTTCATGGTTAGAATCAAAGCAGTTTTGCTAGTTGCCTCTCAGTCTAGAGTATGCCACAAGCCCTTTGACAGGGCTTTCTTTTTCTCAGCTCCTCTATCTTTTGCCTATATTCTTCACCACAAATACATAGATTTCTTGTAAAGTGTAATCGGAAAATAAAATTTCCTTTTTTTAGGACAAATGGTGTCTCCTGAGTGATTACATGATTTTTTTCTGTTACCTAAGCCACACACCCCAACAAATTCTGTCGGTCATGATCCTGCCTACTGCCTGCAGTGAGAGAATCCCAGGCTGAAGACGTGCTGTGTGCTCAAGTTAGACTAAAGAACGCAGCCTACGGTATTTCTCCCTTAAAAGTAGCAGTGCGAGCTGGAGAGGTGGCTTGGCGGTTAAGAGCACTGGCTGCTCTTCCAGAGGACTCAGGTTCGATCCCGTCACCCACACAGTGGTTCACAACTGTCTGTAACTCCAATGCCAGGAGATCCGTTGCTCCCTTCTAAGCACTGCGCACACTTGCTACACATCCATACCTGCACACAAAACACTGATACACATAAAAATAAATCTACAAAAAAAAAAAAAAAAAACAGCTTTCTGTTACTACCCTGGCCTCAGCATGGCAAAAAGTTAAATAGAAGAAAACAAAGAAAGGCCCTGCTTTCCAGCACTATAGCTGTCCACTGTGGCCTTCATTACAGGTTCCTGCAGTACTGTAGCAGCCAAAATTTAGTACTTTATAAAAAATCCTCATATAAACTAATCAAGAGGATGGTGATTTTAAAAGGTACAGTGTCTGGTAATTCCTGTTTTATATAACAAACAGGCACAGGAGAAGGTAAGTGCTCTGTTTTTCTCTCTCTCTTGTTTGGTTTTCAAGACAGGGTTTCTCTGTATAGCCCTAGCTGTCCTGAAACTTTGTAGACCAGGTTGGCCTCGAACTCACGTAGATCCGCTTGCCTCTGCTTCCTGTGTTAGGACTAAAGGCATGCATCACCACACCCACTGTTAAGTGATAACTAAGGACATATTGCTAGTAGTATGAGTTCCAGCTACAGTCCCAACTATGAAACTACTGTGCTGCTGCTGCTGCTCTCTTATCCCCAACTCACTTGTCTTACATAACCTTTTGCACCATTGAAATTAGCTCCTAAATAGTGCAAGCTTCATATTGCATCTCATTCTTAGACCAGCATACCAATCCCCTCAGTGTATATCATTTCGTTCATAACCTTATCCTGCACTTTAAAGTAGGCCCTTAGAAGTGAACTCCCATCTCTCACATGCCAAGATCACAGGCACATATCTAGTTTTATGTTGTGCTGGGGACTGAACGTAGGGCTTTGGGCAGGCTACACAAGCACTCTACCAACCAAGCCACAAGAGTAAACATCTAATTAAGACATTTATTAACGATGAATTTTAACTACAGGAGACATCATCTTTTGAACTTAGGAAGTATAAGAAAATTCAATAAACTGTTAATGGAAAAAAGAGGTCAAAATTGGAAGCTGAAGTAGTTAAAAACACGTTCTGCCTTGTAGAGAGCCTGAAATCAGTTCCCATCCCCTTATCACGTGGCTGCCTGTACCTGTGGCTCCAGTGGAATCCCTGGCCTCCATTCCTGTCTGTTCTAAGGCAGGTGTCCACATAGAGACCATGATTCAAAAAAAAAAAAAAAGTCAAATTTTAAGTTTTGCTATAAGTAAATTGGAAGTAAAGAAGTGGGGATGTGTGGTTGAGTGGTAGGAGAAGCTTGCGTAGCCAGCAAGAGGTCCTGGAGCAGATCCCTATCAAAGGGAGGAGAGTCAGGACAGCAAGATTTGACTGAGAAGACAAGGTAGGGGATAGATAGGGAATTAAAGCTAAGGTTAGTATTTAGTCCTGTATTTTTGAGATGAGACGAGCCAACTTTGTTTTCCAACTTTCCGGGCAGTTCTTGGAACTCGAGGGACTTACCCATGACCACTTGGTCCTGTAGATACAAAAGCATAACTAGTCACTTCAAATCCTTAGAGGACTATTTTACTGTTGTCCACTTCCAACGACGTAGGAGTAATAACTTCCTTCTTGGGGCCTCTGACACATGTACCTGTGTGTGCACATCATCTAAGCAGACTTCACCAGTGAGTTTGATATGCCCATGTCATTCATAAAAATGGGTGGGGCGGGACTCCAATTCACAACATATATTTGATTACCATGAGGTAAGTTTTTTTATTTTTATTTTTTTTATTTTTATATTTTTGAAGTGCTAGAGATCTAGCCCAAGGCCCCACATGTTAGGAAAGTTCCACTGTAGCATTTTAAACACACTGAAGTAGAGACGATAATATACTGAATATGCAGAGTTAAACAACAGTACCAAGACTTCCAGCCCTTAGTTTTTTTTAATTGTTTTGTTTTTCAAGACAAGGTTTCTTTGTGTAGCCTTGGCCATCCTGAAACTTGCTCTGTAGACCAGAGATTTGCCTGCCTCTGCCTCCCGAGTGCTGGGATTAAAGGCGAGCATTGCCCCTCAACTTCCAATACTTCTAACGCCAACTGTAGCGTTTGGGAGTGGCTTGGACAACCCCAGGTGTCATTTTTATTTTTTTTTTAAAGTTGTGCAACCTTGAAGTCATGAACAACACTGGCACACACCAAAGTGTGAAAAAGCACGGAACAGCGCAGCCAGGAATGCTGCCCCACACCTGTGCGTAGTCTTAATGCCCATTAGCAGATCCATCTTAGCCCTCTGGGGGTCAAGCTGATGCTCAGAGACTCAAAGCCTCCACTATCAGGCTCAGCAGCCCCACAGAAGAAGATATTTGCAAATCACGAGGCACAACAGGAAAGGCCAAAGTTAAATTTATTATCTAATACATGATTTGGCTTAACAGATAAGTATATCTCCATATCTCTTTCCTTTTTTTTTTTTTTACATTAAAAATGCTTAAAAGCCAGGCACAATGAAACACACCAGTGTCCTCTGCATAGGAATAGCTGAGGTGAAGGATCAGTATGTTGAGGCCATCCTTTTAAAGAAACAAGGAGGGTTGGAGAGAGGGCTCAGAGGTTAAGAGCACTGGCTGCTCTCCTAGAAGGCCTGAGTTCAATTCTCAGCAACCACAGGGTGGCTCCCCAACCATCTATAGTGGGATCCCATGTAGGCAGAACACTGTGTATACAATAAATAAATCTTAAAAAAAAAAAAAAAAAAAAAAAAAGGAGTGGAGCACCGCCTGGTATGTTTTAGGTTTGCTCTCAAACAGCAAGAATAAGAGACTCACGTGTGTTCTCTCACTTTTCCTAATATTTTCTTTTTTTCACTTATTTATTCACTTTATCCTAATATTTTCTTAACATGTTACTCCATTTTTTTGTGTTGTTTTGAGTGTTGTTCAGTTGCCCTGGCTGGGTTGGTGCCACGCCACGGTAGCACTCGCTCTCTGGCTGCAGCCGCCGCGGAGGGGAGGGGCGGGGAGGGGAGGAGCAGGGAGGGGACCCTCGGCCGCGCAGCGCCCCCTGGCGTCCGCGAGAGGAACCCGCGGGGCCCGCTGGACTGGGAACATGGCGCGGCCGCCGGCGAGCCTCGGGGCCCAGGCGCCGGGTCCCGACCGAGGGGAAGCCAACGTGGTGACGCGGGTGTCGCAGTGGGCGGACAGCCACCTGCGCCTTGTCCAGGTGCCCCGGCCGGCGGGGTGGGCTGGCCAGAGCGGGGTGTCGCGGCAGGGGGACCGCAGGGGCGGAAGGGCAGCGGGCCAGGGCGTGGCCAGGGCGGCCATGGCGCGTCCCCGGCCGTGGCGGCGGCAACCGGGCCTGCTTCACTACCCAGGCTGGCGCGGGGCTGGGGACACCACAGGGGCCACCCAGGCGTAGCTCCTCAGTCACTATGGCGGGCTGGAGACCCAGGAAGCACGGAAAAGCCCCGAGGCCTTGACAGAGCCTTGGTGGGGTTTTCGAGGACTGGGGTTCGAACTTAGGTTAGCGTTCTAGCGCTTACCACTGAACTAATGATCCCCAGTCAGGTCTGTCCATCTGTGCTGTTTGGCCTGTTAGTGGTCATGAAGACAGGCTCCTTCCTTTTAAGTTAGTACGCTGATTATTATAAATGATAATTGACGAGAAGTAACTGTTAAATCTCTTTCTGCAGAACATCAGCACTGGAATGGCCATAGCGGGGATGATATTGCTAATAAGAAGTGTTAGACTGGTGAGTCAAAAGCAGCAGAGGCAGCAGAGACCTGGCTTATTTCTTCTTGTTCCAGGCAGCTTGTATTCGTACTGGAAGGTTTTAAGTTCTATTTTAGAAATAGTAAACATTTTTAAGATCTTGGTTAAGATTTAGAGCTGTGAATGTGTTTTAGGGTCATAAAATGAAGAAATTTATAGTTAATTCTACACACTATTAGCATAATCATACTTTTTAGACATAAATGATCCCATAAAAGATTTAGTTGTTAAGATAGTGTAGTCACAAAATTTGCATTTTAGACACTCTAGAATATCTCAAGTGTTTTTGGTTCATTTTTTAAAAATATAGTGTCTACTGCTTATTAGAAACAATAACAACTGAATAACATTCTGATTAGGTCTGAGTTATTTTCCTGGCTTCTGTTGAACCACTAGCCCAAACAATAAAAATATTGTAATGAGCTGGAGTAAAGAAAAAGCATGCCGGTTAATAACTTAAAAAATTTATTTACCCATTTATGCCAGTATGTCCTCAATTGCTGTCATCTCTAATCACATGACTGCAATCCCACGAGATGTCTAGCTTTCAGTACACAGATCTCAGTTTTATAATGAAAGCAAACTAGGATTTAATTGGGTGTGGTGACTCACACCTGTATTCCTGGCAACTTGGAAAGCCGAGGCAGGATTGCTACATGTTCATGGCCAGCCTGGACTACTGGTTCCAGGTCATCCTGGCTTGGGCTAGAGGGAGATAGATCATACTAAAAACAACAATGAAAAACAAACAAACTTGGATTTTTGTCTAGTTTCCTAGCGTGGGTGGGGAGTTGTTGGCACTGAGGAAATCTTGTCTTGTAGGCAAAACTGTTTCTCAGGTATTTTACAAATAAACTATTATATTTAGATTGAAATTCTGGTGTGGCTGTTTTTAAGTAATTGAGCCTGAACTGTCAGGTTATAGAATTACCTATTTATCTGAAAGGTTACCACTTTCTGGTTTAACTTGGTTATCATTAACAGTGTTCACAATGATGACTATCTGAAAATACAAGCATTTACATAAGTACTTTATATATGTCCACACAAACAAACAAAATCCAGACCAGTCCTTCTGGATCCAAGTTAAAAGTATGTTCTGGGGCTTTGAGATGGCTCAGTGGGGAAAGGCTCTTGCACAAGCCTTGGAGACCTCAGTTCGATGCCCAGAACCCATGTGAAGGTGGAAGGAGAGAACGTATTCCACAAAGTTGTCCTCTGATCTCCACATGTTCAGTGTCATATGTACACACACACACACACACACACACACACACACACTCATACTAAATAGAGATTTAAAAATATGAAGTCCTAGTTTGATGACTGGGAAATTTCCCCAACGTTTAGATAAAGCTATTCTCCCTTGCAGGGAAAATATGCCAGAGCCTCAAATGCTCTTTCCTGGTAAAAGAAGCAAGTCCAGTGCTACGTAAGGGTCCGTGCTAGCCATGATGTGTGACACTTGTTGCATAAAACAGCTACGAACCCTGAGCACCCAGGAGTTTAGGGGGAAGCACCCAGGAAGTTTTCCTCCAACGTTGGCCTGCCCCCTTTTTCTCTTTGTAAAGATTTGCTTTGTCTCCTAAGTGATTTTAAAAAATGAAATAAGTCTGGCCAGTTAGTCTAATTTAATTTGACACAGCCTTGCTTAGGAGTTACACTTACCGTCTGTCTCCTGTCTACTAGCTTGAAGTAGAAATGCATGAGTAGTAAGCTTTAACTCTCTAAACGTCTGAAGTTATCTACTATTTTCATGTGCATGTCTGCGTGCATCTGTCCCAACAGAAGAGGCTGTCAGGAACTCGGTGCTTGAAGCCGAACCCACATCCACTGCAAGGACATCAAATGCCCTTAACTGCTGAGCCATCTCCCTAGACGCCAGAAACACTTTTGATTAACTATTAAAGCATTAATATCAAATTAAGAACCAAGTTGAAACTTTTCAGTGGCTGTGTCTTCTTGTTAAATGCTTAGATATCTTCACTTTTTATTCTTAAGGGAAAAGTGTAACTTTTTCTTTGTAAATCAACAGACATCCAAATTTACGACCTCTTCAGATATTCCAGTAGAATTTATAAGAAAGAAAGTTAAGCTTCGTGGCCGATTACACCGGATAACTGAATGTGGTCTAGAAATTGAACATATCCCCATTAGTTTACCTCTTATATCTTCGTGGAAACGTAAGTAAGATGTGAGAATTGTAAAATTTTAAAATGGTAATCTTTAATAACTATTATGCTATAATACAGCTATCATACCTACTGTGTCATAACCTGGCTATCATGACTATTATATCATAACATGGCTATCATTATTATGGGATAACATTATGGCATACATGGCCATGACACTTATTATGTTTTAACACAGTCACAATATTATAACATGCCTACGACTATTATGCCATCACGAAACTATCATGACTATTATGTCAAAACAAAGTTGTATGTTATTATGTCATAATATACCTACCAAATCCACAATGTCATAACATGGTTATTATCACTATTATGTCATAACATCCACCTTCACTATTATGTCAACATTATGTCATAACTTAGATTAGTGATCGTATTTATCACTGAGACAGTATCACTTTGTGTCATTCTCTGATTTTCCAGCTGTCCATATTTGTTCCCTCATTTGACACACTTTCTCCTTTCCCTGATGCTGTGTTTATATGTAAAACCCACATCCTACCTTTTTGACAGAGTACTCTTAGCCTAACCTACTAGAGCCATGTTATTCTTTCCTTCCTTCTAGCTTCTCTGTATTGTCCCATTTAACATGGACTGGACTTTTAAAAATGTTTCTATGCAAGATTTATTGAAGGGGGCTGGAGAGAAGACTTAGTGGTTTAGAGTACTTATTGCTCTTCCAGAAGACCCGGGATCAATTCCCAGTACTATTTTGTCATAACATGGCTATCATGACTATTATATCATAACACAGCTATCAAGACTGTTATGCCAGAAAATGGCTATCAGCATGAGCTGGCTGGGCACATTATATTAGCACTCAAGAGGTAGAGAGGAAACAGGAAGTTTATACCACTTCAATGCCCAAATAGTGATGTACTTCCTCCTGTAAGCTTCTACCTCCTAAAAGCTCCATAACCTTGCCAAATTACACCAGCGGCTGGATAGCAAGTGTTGAAATTCACGAGCCTATGTAGGACATTTATATTCACACTATAACACCCACTGAGCCATCTCACCAGACCTCTCTCTTTCTCTCTTCTCCCTTTCCTTCTTTCCCTTCTTATTTCTTCCTCACCTCCTTCACTTTCCCATCCCTCCTTTGTTGCCTTACTTTTTATGTTTATTTTATTTGGGTTTCTTATGCCTCTACCTCCCGTCTCCACCCCAATCCCTTCCAACACCCCAACACCAGGTAGGGGAGAAAGGTTAGTGGGGAGAAGGGACATAGGCTTCTTATGGCTACTTCCTGCTGCTTAGGGTCATTGGGCTCCTTGGGCTCCAATCTTCAGTTCAAGATATCTCCAACTTCTTCTCAAGCTACATCGACAGCAACAGGGAGCAACAGCTGCCTTCTTTCTCAAAACTCCCTCGACACTCTCCTGGCTCTGACATTTATTCCCTTTCCAGAGTCCTCAGATTTAAACTATCTGCAGCTGGCAAAGAGCTCCTCTCAAAGCTTGCATGAGGCAAATAGTTTGCTGCTGTGGACTGTCTGAATCAGTCCCATATCCCACACCTGGAATTAAAATAAAAACGTGTTTACTAACCGAACTGAGCTTTTAAAGACAGAGAAACTTCCACTACACTCTCTCCCCACCTCCTTTCTTCTATCCCTCCCTCCCTTCTTCTTTCCTTCCCTTCCTTTCTTCTTTCCTTCCTTTCTTTTAAGACATTAATTTTTTAACCCCTTTATGGAAAGCTATAAACATTTTTCTAAAATAAAATCCTAAGCTAGTCAGTGTGGTATTCACAGTTTTACAAAGAGGTAGAAAGTCACTTGACCAGCCTGGGCAAGCGTGAGCCTGTCCCCTGAAAAAAATAATTAGTTAATAAATAAATTAAATCATTATTAAAGTTAAGCTGATAAAGTATTTTCAAGGATTTGAGTAAATATATCTTCATATTATGTTATGATTATAAATTGGTAAAATCTTGTATGGAAGGCAGTTCAAAATGTTTATATATGTGTATATATATATATTTTATATATGTATATATATATATATAATGTGTGTGTATATATATATATATATAATGTAATCGTTTGCCTATGGCTCAGTGGTTAAGAGAGTGTTCTGCTGTTGCAGAAGACCTGAGTTTGGTTTCCAGCACCCGTGTTGGAAGGCTCACAGCTGCCTGTAACTCTGACTCCATGAATCCGATGCTTCCTTTTGGCTTCTCTGACCGCCCTCACGCTTGCGGCATATATGTACACACACGATCATGAAATTGAGATGGCCAGACTTTGTTTGGGTGGGAAGCTGTTCTCCCTAAGAAGTAGTTGACAGCTGGGCAGTGCTGGTACATACCCTTAACCCCAGCACTTGGGATCTCTGTGAGTCTGAGGCCAGCGTGGTCTACAAAGCTAGATCCAGGACAGCCAGGGCTACACAAAGAAACTCAGTCTCATAAAGAACAACAACAAAAAGTAGTTAACAAGTTCATTGAAAAAAGAAAGCAATTTCTGCAGTTCTACTTAAACAGTAACCATATTATTAAGCTACACTATTCATATATGTGTAGAAACAGCTCTGGGAAGTTAGAAAAGGTGAACTTGGCTAAATCTTTTCAGGTATGGAACTCGATCAGATGGGTTTTAGAATTATACTGTTCTACACTTATATTGAGGAGTTTTTTGTTGATCTTTTTTCTTTTTTTTGGTTATGTGTTTGTTTTTTTCTTTTTCTGTTTGTTTTAGCATAGGGAAGTCCTGGCTGACCTGAACTCCTTAGGTAGACCAAGCTGACCTTGAACTCACAAAGATCCAGCTACCTCTGCTTCCTGAGTGTTGGGATTAAAAGCTATCGCATCTGGCTTATACTTGTATTTCTTAAAAGAAAGTTTAATAAATTTAATAAAAATAAGTGGTCCTAAGTTTAAAGCATGAGTATTTATAAATAAGCACAAAGCATTGCTCTGTGTGTTAGGGGCTTGGAGGCAAATGACTTTGGAATTTGCTTTGTGGAGGCTAAGTTGCTTTCTACTTTCTTAGAAGAACCCCGTGGGGTTTTGCTGGTTAAGCTGGCTGGAGTAGAACTCACTGAAACCGGCAAGGTGTGGTTACAGAAAGAGCTAAAACCTTCCCAGCTACTATGGTTCCAGCTTCTTGGAAAGGAGAATTCGACACTCTTTTGCTACCTTTTAGTGAAAAAGGTAGGTAGTGTGAAGAAATAACTGATCATGTTTTAGTCTTAATTTAAGTAAACACTCGTATCCCAGCTTAGGCCCCGCCCTCTTTCTCTCCCAATCCCCCCTCCCTCCCTCTTCTCCTCCCTGCCCCCTTCGAGTCCACTGATAGGGGAGGTCCTCCTTCCCTTCCATCTGACCCTAGCTTATCAGGTATCTTCAGGACTGGCTGCAGTGTCCTTACTGTGGCCAAACAAGGCTGCTCCTTACTCGGGGTGGGGGAGGGAAGCTCAATGAGCCAGTCATTGAGTTCATGTTAGAAATAATTCTTGTGCCCCTTACTAGGGAAACCACTTGGATACTGAGCTACCATGGGCTATGTCCGAGCAGGGGTTATAGGTTATATCCATGCATGGTCCTTGGTTGGAGAAACAGTCTCATAGAAGACCCCAGTGCCTTGATATATTTGGACCTTGTGACGTTCCTGTCCCCTCTAGATCATATTAACTCCCCCTTCTTTCACATGACCCTGCACTCTGCCAAAGGTTTGGTTATGAGTCTCAGCATCTGCTTTGATACACTGCTAGGTAGAGTCTTTCAGATGCCCTCTGCGGTAGGCTCCTGTCCTGTTACTTGTTTTTTCCTACTTCCAATGTCCATCCCATTTGTCTTTCTAGGTGAGTATTGATCATCTTACCCCTGGTCCTCTTTCTTGTTTATCTTCTTTAGGTGTACAGATTTTAATATGCTTATCCTATCTTATAGGTCTAGTACCCACTTATAAGTGAGTGTGTACCGTGTGTGTACCTTCTTTCTGCTCCTGGGATACCTCACTCAGGATGATTTTTTTCTAGATCCCACCATTTGCCTGCAAAATTAATGATTTCCTTGTTTTTAATTGCTGAGTAGTATTCCATTGTGTAAATGTACCTCAATTTCTGTATCCATTCCTCCACTGAGGGACATCTGGGTTGTTTCCAGGTTCTGGCTATTATGAATAAAGCTCCTACAAACATGGTTGAGCAAATGTCCTTGTGTACTTGAGCATCTTTTGGATATATGCCTAGGAGTGGTATAGTTGGCCCTTGAGGAAACACTATTCCTGGTTGTCTGGGAAAGCTCCAGTTTGATTTCCAAAGTGGTTGTACAAGTTTACAGTCCCACTAGCAATGGAGGAGGGTTTCCCTTTCTCCACAACCTTTCCAGCATGTGTTGTCACTTGAGTTTTTGATCTTAGCCATTCTGATGGGTATAAGGTGAAATCTCAGGGTCGTTTTGATTTGCATTTCTCTGATGGCTAAGGATGTTGAGCATTTCTTTAAGTGTTTCTCTGCCATTCTATATTCTTCTACAGAGAATTCTCTGTTTAGCTCCATACCCCATTTTTTAATTGGGTTACTTGAATTATTGCCTTTTAACTTCTTTAATTCTTTATATATTCCAGATATCAGCCCTCTGACAGATGTTAGGTTGGTGAAGATCTTTTCCCAATCTGTAGGCTGTCGTTTTGTTCTGACAACCACGTCCTTTGCTTTACAGAAGCTTTTCAGTTTCATGAGGTCGCATTTATTGATTGTTGCTCTTACAGCCTGTGCTGATGGTGTTCTATTCAGGAACTTGTCTCCTGTGCCAATGAGTTCTAGGTTTTTCCCTACTTTTTCTTCTTACCACTGCTCTCATATTGAGGTCTTTGATCCACTTGGACTTTAGTTTTGTGCAGGGTGATAAATATGGGTCTATTTTCATTTTTCTGCATGTAAACATCCAGTTGGACCAGCACCATTTGTTGAAGATGCTGTCTTTTTTTCCATTGAATGGTTTTGGCTTCTTTGTCAAAAATCAGATATTCATAGGTAAACACTTATTTAGTTGGCATTTTTTAATATATAATGAACTTTTCAAACTGCTGATCACGATTATGTGCAAAGAACAAGGTGTTTCATATATAAATTTTATTGTAAAAGTTTATGGATGTTTATTTCAGTCAAATAGGATATCTAAAGGGGCTGGAAAGGTGGCTCAAGCAATTAATATTCTTGTTGTTTTTCCAGAGGACCTAGGTTCAATTCTTAGCACCTACTTTAGGCAGCTCAGAAGTACTTGTAACTCCAGTTCACAGGATCTCATACCCCCTTCTGGTCTCTGTGGGCACTGCTGTTGTTGTAAAAATAGAAAATCCCAAAGGTTTGACTTTACCAATGAAGACTTAGGAGCCAGATATTGGGGGTGAAAGCTTGATAGCAGAGAGACAGAGAAAGCATCCAGCTGACCTTCCTACTCAGCTGACATCCCAGAAGGGAAAGAGCTTTCCCTTTCCCCACACTGTCTTAACTACCCTTCAACTTTGTCCTTTTTCTCTGTGTTTGCTGATGGTCACTCCTTGTCAGCTGGTTGCTCGATCTGCCTCTTGCCCTATGATTAGCTCTACTTAGCTTTTGCTTACAGAAGGCTCCTGGGTTCAAACTGTGTGCTAGGCATGCGCCCTACAACTACTTGTTTACAATAAACAGAAAGCTCTTGCGTTAAAGGTGTGTGTTAGGGCTGAGATATAATACAACTAGAAAGAGGTTTTCCAGTACATATTCTCAGGGTTCACAGTGTGATCAAATATTCTGCAACACACTGTACTCAAGCACATAGACACACACGTACACATAATTTTAAAAATTAAAAACTAAGGCCTGTATATCTGGGCACAGGGGTCTTTTCTGAGACTGATTCTCCAACCAAGGACCATGCATGGAGATAACCTAGAACCCCTTCTTGGACATAGCCCATGGCAGCTCAGTCTTCAAGTGGGTTCCCTAGTAAAGGGAACAGGGACTATTTCTGACATGGACTCAATGGTGGGCTCTTTGACCTCCCCCCCCCCCACACAAAGGAGGAGCAGCCTTGCTGGTCACAGAAGAAGACAATGCAGCCAGTCCTGATGAGACCTGATAGGTTAGGGTCAGATGGAAGGGGAGGAGAACCTCCCTCTCAGTGGACTTGGAAAGGGGCATGGGAGGAGATGAAGGAGGAAGGGTGGGATTAGGAGGGAATGAGTGTGTGTGTGGGGGGGTGCTACAGCTGAGATACAAAGCAAATAAAATGTAATTAATGTAAAGATAAAAATTTAAAAAAGAAAAATGAAGCAAAAACAAAACAAAACAAAACTAAGGCCTGGAGATGGCTGGAGAGATAGCTCAGTATTTAAGAGCTCATATTGCTCTTGCAAAGGACATGGGTTTGATTCCTAGCACCCACATCAAGCAGCTGACAGGCACCTGTAACTCCAGCTCTAGGTGATTAAACTACCCAGGCTCCGCAGGCACAATTACATATACATAAATCAAAGCAATAAAATAAATATTTTTAAAATTAAATAAAAGACAGGGCTGGAGGGATGGATCAGTGGTTAAGAACACTTACAGCTCTCATAGAAGACTTAGGTTTGGTTCCCAGCACCCACACGGCAACTTGCAAAGGTCTGTAGCTGAGGTTCTAGGGATCCAGTGTGCTCCTCTGGACCATGAGGGCAGCAGGCACACATGAGGTGCATATACATACATGCAAGCAAACACTCATACACATAAAATACAAATATTTATTGATTAAAAATAATAAAAATAGCCAGGCAATGGTGGCTTATGCCTTTAATCCCAGCACTCTGAAGGTGGAGGCAGGAGTTTAAGGCCAGTCTGGTCTACAGAGCAAGTCCCAGGACAGCCAGGGCTACACAGAGAAACCATGTCTCAGAAAAATAAATAAATAAATAAATAGTAAATAAATAAATAAGAAGATAGAAAGTTACAAAGAAAGGAGGAAAACTTTCAAATTATTAATGATTTTGGCCATTTCTAAATAAAGGATTAATCCTATACAGTTACATATATATGAGTATATTATCACATTGTTACTATAAGTCAATTGGAAGTGTAGCTTGGCAACTGGAAGCTACAAAGAACAGGATGTTTTCTGAAGGCAAATGCTGTTCCATCTGCTCCAATATCCTGTGTGTTCACACTCAGAAGCTGTAAAAGTAAATGCCATGCTCATGTCACTTCATGTATACCGAAAACCGCCCTCTGGGCTCGCTGTCCTCGTTTACAGGGCGGACTGTAAGGGACGATAATTGCCTTGTCTAGATGAACCAAAGGCAGTTCCCCCTAGCTCAGAGCCCACCCTCACTCTACGTCCTTACATTGTTTTCTTTGTCCGCACGCTGCGCTGTGCACATAGTACGATCCAGTTAGTTCTCCTGCTTGAATCTACCAACGTATGAGACTGAAATTTAGTTGTTTGGCTTGGCTCAAGGAAATGAGCTTGTGAAATGTTTTAAACTGAGACAAATATAATAAACCTTCCATAACTCTCCTGTCACCATGAACCAAAACTTACTGTACCCAGAGAAATAATGTTTTACCTTTAATTTTGTCTCAAAGCCTTTTGTATAAAGATTACTTTGATTTATAAAATCTTAGAAAATATTTCCTTGTTTAAGCCTGGAATTTTGACATTCCTAGATTGATTTCACATTAATTGTGATTTACTTTGTAAAAATGTATATGTGAATGTGTGAGTGTGCATGTGTTTGTGCATGTGTGTGCTTGAGAGTGTGTGTGTCTGTGCACTTGTATGCACATGGAGGGGCCTGCTAGAATCTTTCTGTGTTGGAATTATAAGCATTTGCAGAACACCTGGCTTGTCACGTGGGTGCTAGGATCAAATTCCAGGTCACACAATTGTGCTGCAAGTGCTTGCTTTTTGTCTTTCTTGAGATTTGTTTCTATGTATGGGTGTATGTGTGTACATGTGTGTACGCGTATGCAGTGCATAGTGTTCACAGAAACCAGAAGAGGGTGTTGAATTTCCTGGAGCTGAAGTTATAGATAGTTCTAAGCTGCCCTATGTGGGTGTTAGGAGTCGAACACCAGTACTCTGAAAGATCAACAAGCACTCTGAAGCTGCTGAGCCATCTCTCCAGCCCTGTGACTGACTTTAAAATGGAGCTACCGATACTTGGTTTTAATTAGTTTTGTTGGATTAAAACAGGATCTGCTTTATTCCTATTAATTCCTAAGGGAGGTGGGAATCATTTCCTGACTTCATTATAAGTGGAATGTTCCAGAAATGAAAGTTTCAAGGTAAAGATTCAAAGATTATTTGGAATAGGTAATTTTAAAATATACGTATCTGGGGTTGGAGAAATTGCTCAACAGTTAAGAGTGATGGCTGCTCTTGTGGAGGACCCAGCCATCAAATAGAGGCTCATCACTGTAACTCTAGTTCCAAGGTATCTGATTCCTTCTTCTGACCTTTGTAGGTGCTAGGCATGAGAGTGATGCACAGGCATATACATTTAAACAACAAAACAAAATGAAATACAAACAAAAAGGCCCACCTGTCAGAGCCTCCAAGCCCTGGGACTTTTTAACTCAGTGCTGTTCAGTTCATTACAACTTACTTAAATAGTTTTTACTTTACTTTCTTTTGCTGTGGGCTCTCATTGTGCAAATCTTGTGCCCTATTTCCTCTCTGCACAGCCAAGAGAGTAAATAGCACCTTTTATACTTAGTCATTTCAATGCTTCTTTGGGTTAGAGATCAATGAGAATCAGGTGAGCACGGCTTGCATGAGTATATTTTAACAAAAAATAAAATCTTTCAATTTAGCAGTAGCTGAGTTAGGCTCTTTTTGTTGTTGCTTTGTTTGTCCGTTTTGTTCCTTATTTTGCATGTGTGTTGGGGGTTCATATGTGTATACATATGTTGACACTTTTGTGTGCATGTGCAGAGGCCAACGGAGTTATCTTCTTCCATTACCCTGCACCTTCTCTTCTCTTTCTAGAGATCAGCTAGTCAGTGACAGCCAGGGATTCACCTGTCTCTGCCTCCCCAGTGCTCGGATTAGGAGCCTAAACTGCCACACCTCGCTTTTTGCATGGATGCTGGGTATCTCTGTTTTATTGTTGTTACACAACAGTATCTCTTTTTGTAGTTCAGTCTGGTCTGGAGTGAGTAATCCTCATGCTTCAGCCTCACAAATGCTAGGATTACAAACATGTGCCACCAAACAAACCTGAAGACCTTTGGGTTACATTCCACACACACATGTTTTTAATGTTCTCTAAAAAGATAAAACTGCTGAATTCTAAGGTAAATAAGATATTATGGTACAATAATCACTCCTTAATTAATCACTTTCCTCCTTTCTATTCAAGGGTGGATATTTTAATGTGAATCTGAATGAGGAGATTTTGAGAAGAGGCTTGGGGAAAACCATTCTTGTTAAAGGCCTAAATAATGACTCCAAAACCCACTGGAAAATCCACCGAAACCTACTTAAGGCTGAATTGAAAGCCTTAAAAAAAGGAGAAGGAATATGGAAGGAAGAATCTGAAAAAGCAAGTTATTTTGTAAAATTCAAAGATTCCTGGAGAGAGCGATGGAAAAAGGACAATTATTTAAAAACAGCCAGACCAGATTTCAACTTGACCAAAGAGAGTTATTATGACAGGTTTCAGAGGGCTTGTGGAAGCTGGAAGGACAGCATGGGCAACTACTCTTTAGTTTTGAAACTCAGAGAACTTGTGAGCCGCTTACACTTTAGGAAAAAAGGATGAAGCATCTGCGAAGTCTAGAGATGACCTCTTAAACAGTGAAAAGCGTAACTGCATGACCACTTTTCATTGAGTGAAAACGGAAATTTCTTCAGGTGACCAAACTTTCAGTCTAGTGGTACTTGACAAAACCATTGTTAACATCGGAATCCATTTGAACGACTTATTATCAATGTAAAAATGACACACTGTAAAAAGGTCTCTGGGAGAAGGATGTGTATATATAGAACTGATGTTTTGCTTTGTCCTTCTTCCTCCCTGTTCCCTAGTGCCAGGGACTGAACTCAGGGCCCAGGCACTCAGGACTACTGAGCTACATTGCCAGCCCTGAAGTGCTAATGTCTGAAGAGAAAGTTGAAGTATTGACTGTTACATTAGTTATTTGGGGCAGCCGTATTTAATATTGGTTTTTTAATGTTATCAACTTTATAATAAAGGAATTTTAAAAAATATTTCTTTTCTGAAGTCATGCTTTCTCACCCAGCATCTTTCTAGCTATTAATGAGTTTGGGACAGTGATTCAAAAGGTATGGGCACCATTTTTGGTAATAAATACAGCTAATTTCACCCTGTTGTTAGAAGAGAGGATTACCCGTAAGACAGAGATGAGGATGGCAGCAGAGAGGACAGAAAGAAAAGATCTTCAGGACATCACCGAGCTCCTGCTGTCACCAGTTCTTGAACTGCCCTGCTTTCCAGCATGCGTGCACAAACTGTCTTGATAGGAAAGTTAGTTTGTACTAACTTTACAAACCGAGTGGTGGCACACTCGGTAAGTAGAGGCTAGAGGAAGAGTTTCAAGGTTGTCCTTGGTTCATAGTGAATTCAAGACCAGTTTGGGATAATTAATAGAGACTTTTTCTAACAACCAGAAACAACAAAAGCAAAACACCCCAAAACCACTTTTCTGTATGTACAAGAGTTTTGTGACCTCAGTTTCTTCAAAAACATGGAATTGTTCCTGGAATGTGCTTTTGTGCCCCTCCAAGGTATAGCAAATAGGAGTGAGTTTATTTCAGATTATTCATTACAGTTGTCTATTGTTATTTGTTCTCTATGGAAAACATGCTTTGCCACATTTGACTTGTTCTTGTGTTTGTAAACATCACTCAGGTGACTTTTCTTAACCCTCAGAGCATAAGTTGTCTGATGCTCTGAATAAAGTTGGCAATTGCATGGGACTTGAGTCTGATTCATTTTTAGGCCCCACTCTTCCAGGCTCATGTCGCCAACTAGAACAACTAACATCTTCAACAATCTATATAAAAATGTTTTTGTTTTGTTTTTGTTGTTGTTTTGTCTTGTGTTTTTTGAAGATCTCATTATATAACTCTCACTGGCCTGGAACTCACTGTGTAGACCCAGCTAGCTTTGAACTCATAGAGATCTTCCTGCCTCTGCCTCCTAAGTGCTACCATGCCTGGCCAAGAAGGATTTAAACAAACAAACAAACAAACAAATTGTGGTACCAAGAGAAGTCAGACCTACCGGTCCAGAGAATTGGCTTCAGTTAGAATGCATACTTTAGGAGTCCATCTTGGTTACTTTTCTATTGCTTTGACAATATATACCCATGACCAAGTTAACTTAGAAAAGAATCCATTTAATTTGGGGTGCAGCTTCTGAGTGGTTATCTCTCATGAACATCATGGTGGGGAGCACGGCATCAGGCAGGCTAGTTGTGGATCTGGAACAGTAGCTGGGAGCTCACATCTTGGTCCACAAGCCCAAGGTAGAGAGCTAAATGGGAATGGCGTGGAATGGGTTTTTGAAACCACAAAGCCCCCCTTCTGCCCCCCGTGACACACTTCCTCTAACAAAGCAACACCTCTTAAAACTTCCAACAGTTCCACCAACTTGGCCCAAGTATTAAAACAGATGAGCCTGTGGGAGTCATTCTCAAGTCAAACCACCACAGAGTCTGTGCTGTGCATGTAGTGCAGCTGAGCGACTCCTTGTTAAAACGTAAGAAGAGACTTTTGTGCCTGAAGAACTTAACCACTATTACTTTTCACCAAGATTCCAAAGAGTGTGTGTGAATGTGGTTTTGCATCTTTACCTTTTAGTTTTTATTTCCTGCAATAACTTTCGTCTTGTTTTGACAGAGAAGTTAGCGGTTAAGTGCTTGCGTTTTATTCTTTCCTATTTTGGCATGTTTGATTCGGGGGCCTCCGACATGTTAGCCACCGCACCGTTGTCCTTGGAGCTGTGCCATGTGAAGGTGAGGCTTTTCAGGTTTTTCTGTCACCCGGCTAGCCTCCCCTTGATACAGGGAGATCACGGACAAATGAGCAGGAAGACCCCTAAATGGACTCCGTTGGCTGACTTCTCGTTTTGTACCTGGTAGTAACCCCTTGAAGGTCTTGTGATCTCTGGTGAAGAAAGTCCGTTTGCTGGCATTTATCTTCTGGGTCCACATCTACTTTATTGGCCCCACCACTGGTCTATATCACAGATTAGTTTGTCTGGTGGCCCAAGAGCAAGATATGCTGGAGAACCTCAGACAAGTTGGATTTTTGTCTCTGGGCCTCGATATAAAAAGGCTATTTGGAGAAAGTCCTGATTAGCCCAGACTTCTGAGCAAATCCCAGTTTCTTTGCCTTTGTACCACTTGTTTCTGCCATGACTCAAAACACGACATCTGCAAATGTGCTTCCTGGGCGTGCTCAGTATTTTAAGGTGAAAAAAATTAAAAACAAAACAACAGCAAAATGAAAAATGCAGAAACAAGAGGGTGAGTCTCTGACCTCCTTTGGCCCACATTTTCTGATAGCAGGTCTGCAGATATTCATTCTGAGGCAGACTAAATGGACCTATCTCCCCTAGGGTGTTAGGCAGGTGCTGAGCATTCCTACAAAACACTAAACATTCAAAATCAATATTATTTCTACTTATTAAAGTTAGTTATTACTATTTTAAGTTATATTTATGTGTATCTGTCTATGTGTGACTATGTGAATGTGTGGGGTGTCCACGGAGCCATCAAATTCTCCTAAGGATGGAACTATGGGCAGTTATGAGCTGTCCAACATGGGTACTATGAACCAAACTCTGCAAGAACAGTTATGTGTTCTTAACTGCTGAGCCATCTTTCCAGTCCCAGTCTTATAATTCTTATTGGAAGTATCCCTTTTAGTGCTTATTTTCCTATAGATAAGTAAAAATGTTGGAGAAGAGGGTGATTTGACACATTCCACATTATGGCTTCCTGGTGTAAAGATCTCTACAAACAGTCAGCTGGACTGCCCATAAGCTAGCACCAACCACTGCAAGCATTTCGCAGATGCCTTGAGGATGGCAGCTCTTGAAGGTGTGGCTGAAACAATCACTTGATGATCAAGAAGAACAAGGATAATGTGAAGTTCAAGGTTCGCTGCAGCAGGTGCTTTTTGCTAAAAGCACTGAGTTCTCTCTTGGAATCACAGAAAACACAATGCTTTATTAAAAGTCTTTCCTCTCCCTCATTTTGTGTCTGTCTTTTTTTTTTTTTTTTTTTTTTTTTTTTACTTTCCAGAATTTTTAATAGTTAAATGCAAAGGACTGGTTCATTTCAGCTCCTTCACTGCCAAACCAGGGGCCAGGGACTGCTTCAGCTTCTCTGCCTTCTCCTTGTCTGTGATGACCAGGGCGTAGAGGTACCTGCTGCAGCGAACCTTGAACTTCACATTATCCTTGTTCTTCTTGATCTTCACAGATTTGGCATCCTTTCATCGGGCTGTGAGCAGAAAGTCCTTTATTTCCTCCATTTTCCGAGGCATGGTGACAGGTGCTCGGCGCTGGCGGCCGCACCCGAAACACTCCTGTGTCTGTCTTCTTATGTTGGGTCATCTGCTTAACTTTTCAAGTCATTACGTTAATCATTCAAGGAGTGCTTGTCTTACTCATCTCATCCACCTTTAAGGCAGAAGGGATAGAGAGAAGTCATTGTTCTAAGTCTGTAGTTATCTTGGATTCCAAATAGAGAAAAACCTCTAGGGAAAGATTGCCCCTCCCCCACCTAGCCACATGATGGCAATTATGCATGATTGTGCGGACCCTGTAGCAGACAAATCATCTCCTGAAGACCACTTTGTTCTCTCAATCTATAAGAACCACTGTGGAGCACCCTGAGACAGCTGAAGCAATATCCAGTGGGAACACACCTTGACTGGGACTGTTTAATTACACATATCTCTTGTCCTCAGTTTAACCCAAATGCTCCTGCTGGGTGTTGTGGCCCATGCTTTTTTTGATCCTGGCAGAAGCAGAGGCAGGCATTTCTCTGAGGTCAAGGTCAGCTTGGTCTATAAGGTAAATACCTGGGTAGCCAGGGCTATGTAGAGAGACCCTGTCTCAAAAATAACTAAAGAAGAAAAAAGTTCCTATCAGTGCTCCCAAGACACACTTGGGTCATTAGGCTCCTTTATTTTGTACAATGTGGCTGCACTGGAAAAACCGCATCTCTGCCTTTCACATTGTTCAGTTCTTTGTTGCGCATATTGAAGATGAGTGGCTGGACCTAACCTGTTCTGATTGCTAGAACCTGGGGAGAGATCACCATGTCCAGTTGTTTGCTTGACTTTTGAGACAGGAGCTCATGCAGTCCAGTCTGGCCTGGAACTTGCTACACAGCTTAGAATGACTCTGGACTTCCGGTTCTCCTGCCTCCACCTCCTGAGTGAACGATTACAGGCATGCACCAGCAGGACTAGCCTGAAATACTGGCAACGACATCAGCCTTAATATGACTAATGGTGAACAAGGTGAAAGAGAAATGAAGAGGGAAAACTATGCACATATATATGATCCACAGTTGTCACCCCTTGGCTGCAAAACACTTTTTCCTGCACAACAGCCAGACAAGGAAGACAGACAACAGGCTCCTTATTGTCTTGATGGTCTTTTCCTTCTTTTAAAAACTGATTTAGTGTGTGTGTACACACGCGCGCACATGTGTTTGAGAGAGAGAGACCATAGTGCTTGCATGGAGGTTAGAGGACAATCTGTGGGAGTCAGTTCTGTCCTTCTTTCATGCAGGTTACAGGGGTCAAAATCAAAGCACAGGGGTTAAGATGGAGACGCACATGGAAAGAATAAGACCTACCCAAGTGTGAGTATGGATTCTTCAAGGGAGAATACAGTTAAATGCCTTAGCATTAACTATATATACTATTTTGATGGCTCCCGGGTTATATCTCAAAGGTTGATAAGAGACCGTTATCCCTATTTTCTATCCCTTTTAAATAAATGAGATTTTAGGGTGGCTCTAGAGGTGCCTTAGAATTATAGTTTGATAAAGTCAAACTGGAAGCTACTGGCGTTGCACAAGGGTTTTTGTTGTTGTTGTTTTAGGTAAAATTTTAATCTGGAACTGGAGCAAGGCCTTAAGCAATTTACTGTGTTGAAGTTCTTGCCTCCCTGCTGGTGAAGCAGCTTCAACCAGAGTGGGGTGAGGAGCAACTTTCACTTCCCATGATTTAACTTGAATTTGTCTATCCTGCTTTATCAAGACTGTCTGAAAACAAAAAGACAAAAGAAAAAAAAAAAGACAAAACAAAATAAATACACAAAAAGTAAGAAGTGAAAAAGGAAGGAAGGAAGGAAAGAAGGAAAAAAAAGGAACCAATAGTACTGGTCACAGAAGAATACATTACCCCTTTGCAATACAAATCTGAACTTGGGAAAAAGAAAGGCCTGGGATCACTCAGTCTTAGGACCATCTTGGGGCTTACACAGAAGTCCTTCTGGTAGGGTGAATCTTCCACAGTGTCTGTAGAGACTGTGGATGTTGAGGGTGTTCTTCTGCTAATGTTTATGTGGCATTTTGATGTAATGTTTTAGAGACTGGGTCTCATTATGTAAGCCAGACTAGCTTCAAACTCATAATCTTTCCTTTGCCTCCCAAATTCTAGGTTTACCGGTATTCAGAACCCATAATCAGGATCCTCTTGTAGTAGTAGTTCTCAACCTGTGGGTCACAACCCCTTTGACAAACCTGTTTCCAAAAATACTTACATTATGATTCATAACAGTAGTAAAATTACAGTTATGAAGTAGCAATTTTATGGTTGGGGGTCACCACAACAGGAGGAATTGTATTAGAGGGTGGAGCATCAGAATGTTGAGAAGCATTGCCTTAGAGTCTGTTTCCTGCTTGTTGTTTTAAATCTGGTAAAATGGTCAGCAACAAGCTGCAGCCCTGAGAAGCTTCCTGTGCTTCTGTCTTTTCTTGAGTACCTTTCTATTTTAAATAAAACCACAGCTCTGCTTCATACTGACTAGTCCTAAAATTCTTGTGTATGTGTGTGTGTATGTGTGTGTGTGTGTGTTGAAAGCACACAACCTGGCTTTGCCTGAGTGGAGGATCCTAAAAGGTTAAGGTTTCTCCTTAGAATGCCCGGGTAGAGCTCTTCCTTCATTCTCTAACCCCTGACATAGGTATGAATGTAATCCAGGCTATCTTTGGGTTCATGATCTGGCATAAGAAAGTACATTGCCGATAGCCAAGATGTATACCATTTTATTAATTTTCTTGTTAAAAATACATTTGATGTGTCTACAAGGCAAAAACAATGTCTTCCCATTCTTTTTCCTTCAGGATCTTGTTGAGTTGCAGAGTTTGCTGCTGAACTCCCAGAATCAGAGTATTCTCCTGCCTTCACCTGCCTAAGAGCCAAGACTACAGGCCTAGACTACAGGCCTAGACTACAGGCCTAGACTGCAGGCCTAGACTACAGGCCTAGACTACAGGCCTAGACTACAGGCGTGCCTAAGAAGCATCACATTGCAGGTCACTATAGAAGAGCTCATTTCTAGCACAGCCTTTTGGAGAGGGCTGATCAATAGCTCTCCTTCCTTCCTTCCTTCCTTCCTTCCTTCCTTCCTTCCTTCCTTCC